ACACAGCAAGCACTGAATGATCAATAAAGTAACCTACTTTTGCTTCAAGCTCTGACCGCAGCGCCTCCCCTTAACTGGACAAACTGAACAGAAACTAGTCACCAGACTCAACCAAATCCTGAGCCAGCTTACTGTTTTCTGTTGGTACCCTATCAGAAGCCACGATGAGATCACGCATCACCAAACTAACAGGGGCTACAGCAGCCTCTTAGCCAACTGAATCCAAAATGTCATCAAAAAACTTCGCTTATTTTAAGATCTGGATGCGAAACAAAAGACAAGTCAAGCTGATGTCAAAAACTATGAGCTGTCTTGTCCAGCTCAGCCTGGATGCTGGTTGCTGGATGCTGAGGCAGCTTCACACGGGGATTTAACAGGGGATACTGCAGCACAAGAGAACCGTGTGCACAGAAAACTTGCCCAGGAGCATCAGGGAGTCCCGCACTGAGCTTCTCCCTCCCTTTTCCCCTCTGCCTCACTGTCTCACTCTACTTCAAGTCTTTGCAATTAAAACAAATTCAAAAAATATAGATAAAAAGGTAAGTAGAAATGTCTCATTTTGTAAAGAATACTAATCACTGAGGATCAAGATCAACATTTTTTATTTTTTTGAAAAGCCATCTGTTTCTCCATTACAGACCCATAAAAAGTGAAAAGATTGCAGGTTAAGAAGCAAACGCAGCAGCTTACCTTCTGTGCAGGATGTTCCCCGACAATGAGATGTTCCCTTTCTCCGCAGACTCCGAGACACTTTGAGATAGAGAGAAAAAGAATGAATCTCCTCTTACTTTCTCGTACTTCCAGTTTCAGACCAAATGCAAATCTGACAGAGCCCAGAAACACACACCTTTACTCTGACAACTCCACCACAAAAACCCTCACAACCCTGCAAATGCACCCCAAGACTGAAGTACCACAATTTGATGAAGATTTGCTCAGGGGGGGAGGGATGAAAACTACACACACTCACACACTGCAGTTTATTTTTCCTTTTTTTCGTCCTCTTGCCCACTCTCCCGCTCGCTTTTATCCAGCTATCTTTACCCTACGCTGCCTCCTGATTGGGTACACAGCTTTTCAGTAACATAAGCTCTCTTTTTTAATTGGAAGGGAGCCAGTAATGTGGTGCAGCAGAAACCCTCCCGCCCAACTCATCCCGTTTTTTTTTTTTTTGTTGTTTTTTTTTCTTCCCTCCTTCCTAAGTGCCTGTGGAGAAGAATGCTGAGCTCGGCAATTTCCTACGCATCGTCCAAATAATACAACGGGAATGGAGGACAGAGGGATGTGGGAGGAGAAGGAGGAGGAAGAAAAGGGACAGTGGTGATGGAGGGGGAAGAGCATTTGAGGCAGATAAATATGCTGCAGCGGGACAAGCAGGCAGGGGAACAAAGGCGAGGAGGGGTCTCAGGTGTGGTGAGAGATGGGTTTGGATGCACTGGCTGGTTCTGCCCGTTGCAGCAGCGTGACAGCAGGTCAGAGGAAAGCGAGATTTCTCTGCGTTCACTGCAGCGCAGCTCAGTGGCTCTGCTGCAGTAAGTCTGACAGCCAGGCAGGGATGGGGGGATGGGAAAAGAAGAGGAGGAAAAGGAGGAGGAGAGCTATGGATGGCTGCAATGATGCTGAAGTACAGCCTTCCAGGATGTCTTTGGCTTGAAGGAGGGGGTCGGGGGAAGGCATCCAGCCACAGAGCTCACAGTGGTTAATGCATTCACCTTATGAATTATTGAAAGCGTCCCAAAGGAGAATGGGAGGTCTGGCGGTTCAGACCGCCTCTCTGCTGCTAAGGTTCACCCATACATGTTCTCAGCTGGTATCTTAGAACAGCGTGCCCTAAAATAAAATGTCTCCTCACTTGTATTTCATGAGGCACTGAAAAATTTCCTGCTCAGCAAATGTGAGAGATTGATTTTGTGGTGTCAGATTTCTTCCTCCTCCTCCCCTCCTTTTTATTTTTTTTTTTTTTTGAAACCACTCACATCTGGTCTATTGTGTCCCAGCTGCACTTAAGCACAATACCCGAGCAGATCAATAATGGAGCATACAATACCTTGACCATCTGCACAGGCCACAATGAGCACACCACAAGTTATATTTGATGAGTTTGCTCAGACAACATCATCATGGCAGATGGGAAAATAGCAAAAGGAAATCTGATGACTTGGACTTAAGGTTCAAATGCATTACATGTAGTGCATTTTTATTGTGGAAAATTGTTTTTTTTAGCATATAATCCTTTATAAAAGTCTGCCATTGCCTATTATTTTTTGTGAAGGAAAAAATATACATAACTTCCAATTTGTTTATGGATGAAATCAACACTCCTTTAACAAGTTTGACCTCTGGTAATTGAGCTAGATTTTAAGGACATAGTTATAAGCTTGCTTTAATTTGGGGAAAGCTGATGAATCACAAAAGAACAAAATCACAAAAATAGTGGACAAATAAACAGAAGAGTGTGGAAAATGTGGGTAAATCCAACTGACATCATGGAATTATTCACAACTAATATCAGAATATATGCTCTCGTTTATTCTTTATGTTGTACAGAAAATGTTAGGTGTCATGTATTATATTGAGAGTCTTCTGGAGCCCTTTTATCTGAGGAATATGAGCTTCAAGGCAGTTCTTGACAGGGAAACTTTTTTTCAGCTAGCTTGACTCATTTCAGCCAGAGGCAAAAGTACCACAATGAAGACTAAGTTTCCTGTCACTGATTCATAGACGATGCAAAACTTATTGCAAACACTGATGCTGCCCTGTCACTATCACATCCTATGTTCTATCCCAAAGATCTAAATCTGATGGGGGAAAAAAGGATCAAACTTGGTATCAAGCTACCATCAGTGGTCCAAAAGTAAAATACGGTAAAGTAAAATACGATAGTTATGCCTACAAAAACATTTATTAGAAATCCATCACTCCAAAAACTACAACATTCTTGAAGATTTAGCTTTCCTGTGAATCTGTAAACCAAAACTGTTTAACGGTTCGCTGACCCTATGGAGATTTTTTAAAGTAACCTGAAAACTCTTTTTTTCTATCTTTTTGCCATGATTTTATTGCTTATTTTATATTTCCTATATGCATGATGTATCTTGTGCAAAACTTAATGACCTTTATGTCTTTGAAAATCACTTCATAAACTCACTATTCAGTTAAGACCATGGTTTCTGAGAATTAGCTTCATATTATTCAAAAAGATGAACTTTACCTGTTCACAGACACCATCCTCTGGTATTTGGAATAAATTCTACAATTTCCTTGCATTGCCACAAAAAATTATTTTGGATGTTGCCTTACAAGACCCAGGAATTGGACTGGACAACCAATAATGTAAATTTGGTTTGGAACCAAGAAGCCGCCTGCCAACTGGCATCTTGGTGGGCAGGCCATGATTGGGGTTTGCCATCATGTCATAGCATGTATTTCTAAGGATACTTTCTCTTCAACAGGAGACAACAAGACCTCTAAGCATTTTGACCCTTGTGCAGATTTCAACAGCCCATAAAACATTGCGTCATTTCTCTTCATTCCGGTCAGTTTGGCAAATTATAAACTTTCTAATTCAATTCAGATAATTTATAAACTGCTAGCTCATAACACATATCAAGACAATTTACAAAAAAAGCAATTTCAATTCAATCTTATAAACATTCCAATTGATTCTACTCTTCATATAATGGATCAAGTTTATTATTCCAAAAAAAAAGTTATCCAAGTGAAATATGCTTCATGTCATTGACTTGTAGCATTAACATCTCCTGAATGTCTGTGCTTCTCTACACATTAACCCCTCTTTAATTATCTTTTTTTCTGCAACAATCAATTTCATCCAAATTTTCAGGGGAATCTTATGTAACCAACATGTTCATTGGCTGCCTTCTTTCTTAAATTAGGGCCACCTGCTGGTTCACAAGATGAATGACCTCACTGATTGAACTCTACAATAAAGTAAATAAATTGCCATGTAGAAATATATTTTCTACAAACATAGACCTTGATGTGCTTAATGATGCTGGACTGTTATTACTGAACACAACTGGAGCTCCATAAATTATCATAGTAAAGTCAGTAAAACAAAAACATTAAAAAAAATAAATAAATAAAATAAAATTATAACTTGCAAATCTGCTACAATAAAAGATCAGAACATAAATGGTTAGATTCCTGTGGTATTGATGGGTATTCTGAAGCACAGAAATCTACATTACTTACAAACTGGGTTACTATTTGACAATAAAGTTAGATTAAAAGTGTTTTGACTGATGTGGCAGCAAGGTCATAAATGACGCACTTCACTAATGAACCGTTTATGCTTGAGCAAAAGGACTGAAGCCATCCCTTCATTTGTTTATCAAAGGGAAATATGAATTACCCAGGGTAATAGAGCCAAATCCTCTGATCTAATTTAACAAAAGAAATTTAGACATTTCGGGTTTGTTGGGAAATTCAGATAACTCATTTGCCACATTTTAAAACATATTTAAGAAAACATTCTGTAAACCATTGTTTTATTCTTAACAGCTGGGGAACAAGGCGGATTATAAAAGCATCATAGATGAAAAATATAAAGAAGAATAACAGAAACAATGGCCGTGTGAAGCTGTAGCCGAGAAAATGACGTAGTTATTTTTGGATCAACTGCATTCTAAGTATTAGAATGTCAAAATGCTTTCAAAAAAGCCCTACAGAAGGTGTGTTCTATAGCTAGTACAGTGGTGTGTTACTCACCTCTGTTAAATATTGATTTGGTGATAAAAACCCTAAATTCACACAAGAGGGAGCCCTGCTGTAATCAGAAAGCAGAAAACTACAGATTGGAGATTTCCTTTACCAGAGCTGCTGAAGAGAGCTCTGTGTCATTTCTCTGCAGTGAAACTGATTTGTTAGAAGATACATTTTATTTGCAATATAATTACCAAGCTTCTTTTTATGCTGCGGGAATAATGGAGAAAAGTGAATACAGTGAACTCTGCCAATAATAATTATAAAAACCACGTATCATCGCATATTTTCCTTCATCACTGTGGTCTCTGCTTTCCTGGGCAGACTGTACACTGTTATGGAGATATCCGTCTCTTTAAAGACTTGCTCCAGGATCCTTGACACCTTTGACCACTCCAGTCGGTCCAGGCCACACCCAATTCTGAGGGGGAGACACGAGACAAACATGCCGTTTAATCATTCCCACTAAAGAAGAAGAATTAAGGGAAATTGAGGTAAAAAACAAAACAAAAACAAAGAAGAATGGTATTTTTCCACTGTAGTTCCTACAAACCGAGGTATTGATATCCTATTGACACCATTCTGTAAGCAATGAGACTTCATGTCTTCAAGACTCTTTCTCAGGTTGTCATATGTGGGTTTCTGGCTGGCTCTTTTCTTTGTGATCTGAGACACATAATAGGAAAGACACAGTTACAAGACTGAATAATAAAACAACTTTCATTATAATAACTGACCACACTGTTTACCAGATAATAGATGAAACGTTGATCACATGCCAGGACAGCACATTGTCCTGGCACCTTCTCTATTCGGACATACATAAAAAAAAATACAACACATTGCATGAATTAGTACCAAATGTTGGTACGAGACATTAGGTATCAACTTTACAAATAAACTTTACAAAGATACAACTTTTTCTCCTGAAATTATTCCCCAAACAAAGACTTTTTAATAACTAGTCTGACTCACTCTGCTTCTTTAACGTCGACACTTCGCCGAACCTTTTCTTGAACATCGTTGCTATCCCTGCCCCCATGCGGATGTCCTCACTGATGCAGTGGGCCAAGGATTCATCCCGTGGGCAGGAAAACAGGTCGCCGGTGACATACTTCAATGTCCAGCTGTATTCTGAACGCTAGCCACGAGGGGGCAGCGTTTAACAACAGTTAAATAACAGAAACTGAAACAATGTGCTGACACATTTGCGATTACTAAGTCGTCCAACTGTAATCATTACCTGCATTTTATAAGTGAATGATGGTGCTTGGCTTTCAGAAGACACTGAAAACATTGTGTTTAGATCCTGTTTGCTGACTGGATTCAGTAGTAAAACCCGTGAACACCTCTGCCTATGTAAACACGCAACGCTGCGGAGGACTATATGCATGTGCTTCCGACCGAAAGACGAGTTTCGTAGTTTTCTTTCAAGTCTTAAAGTGTCTCGTTTAAGTAGCAAAACACTTAAAGCAGTTCGAAGTTTGAAAACTACATACACAATTAACTTACACTTATCCCTGCCGCAGGACCAAAGCGGAGAAACGAAACATAATCTAGGCTCTCGCGAGAGAAAACGAGTTTTTGAACAAGTGAAACGATTCGCACTATTTAAACACCAGCGCAAAAAGCGGAGCCGCCTTGAAGGCGGAGTATGCTTTCAATCTCAGCCTTGGATTTTGTGACTGAAGACGGTCTATTAAGAGTAACACTAACATATAATTGCGGGTAAAAGTATCTCCGGTTCTCCCAACGCAAATAAAGATTATTGGGAAATTTTTAATTGTTCAAATATTGTCATAAGCATTACACACCAATATCAGGCACACCTTACACATCTAATCAAAGACTTAATTATTTGCACCAGGTGCTTGAGAACCAGGAATGTTACCGGTAATGTTTCACTGCATATAAGAAATATAAATAAGTAAGATAACTTGGCATACAAGTTAGAAATAAGGCATAGTTTTGCAAATTTTGAATTAAAGCAACACAACAGTACCTACCTGGATGTAGTAGAACGAAGAAAAAATCTTCCTGGGTAGGCAGGTGGTTAAAATTCTACCACTGACTGCAATGGACCCTCAACAGAACCTGGAAGAATCCTCTGAGTTTTCAGTTTCCACCTGCTAGAAGCTGAAGAGCTCCATGGAAAGATGTATACGTCTACCAAAAATTACCAATTTACTTTGAGCTTTAGGCAAATTTAGTAAGAGGTTTGGGTTTCTCTTTTTCAGCCAGATGAATCAGAACACAGGCTTCGTACATCCTCAGTTCTTGCTCGGGCATTTGCCAGTTCACTCACACTGACTTATTTTAAATTTTTTCTAGCAACATTTCTGTTTGTCAGCCCAGTCCTTTTGCCTCTATCAAAACAAAATCACAATATTTAACTGAAGTTCATGTAAAATAAATAACTCCCCAAGTCAATAAGCCAACTTTCAACTTTTTTTATTGAACAACTTTTATTCTTAATTCATGACACAATAAGTTGAACACACAGTTGTTGCTTTATGGCTGTAAAACAGACCTATAATAAAATATGCAGCAATTATTTACACTGTTCTTCATTTGCACCAATGCTTCACTGACTGTGCAACTGCTATAAACACATAATCCATTCAAAAGCAATGGATGCATCTAGGTTTTGTACATAATTTTTTGAAGCCAAAATGCCTTTTTATATACATTTATGTACAAAATCAACATGGTCACATAATAGGTCAAAGTGATTTCCAGTGTTAGAAGTTAGCACTGCGTCTTCGCTCATTGATCCAGTCACCAGGGTTCACGTCCATCTGCAGCATCTTCATCACCCACTTGTCCCTGCGTGCTCCATCAATAAACTCATCCAGCGACAGCTCACCTGTGTGACAAAATATAGGTTTTCCATTTTTTGATCCAGTAACAATGAACGCAAGTGCATCCTTACATTTGTGTAAATGACACCAAAAACTGTAAAAAAAAAAAAAAAAGCTGTCACAAACTCTCACCATCTCCATTTTCATCGACCAGTTCAAATATCCTATCAACCACTTGGTCTGGGGTAAGAAGATTACATTCTTCATCCAGCTCCCCATGGCAGGCTTTCTTTAGCCGGTAAATAGACTGTAAGTGACACGAAAGGATGACACAATGACTTCTTGCACATCTTTTTAAAGCAAACTTTGAAATCTCCAGCAGATGAAAACTACTGCGCATGTGAAAGTAATTTAATGGAAATATACCTCCACAATTTCAAGAAGTTCTGTTTTGTCGATGCATCCACTCCCATCTTTGTCGTACATTTTGAATGTCCATTTAAGTTTATGTTCCAATTTGCCTCGAAGAACTAAATTTAAAGCTGCGACATATTCCAGAAAATCTATGGTGTTGTCCTGTGAAATCAGATGTTCAAATGTTAAAAAAAAAATTAGATGAAAACCTAAAGAGGCAACATTGTTGCTATGCAAAATGACAAACAACATACATTTATTCAGAATGTCTGGAGATATTTAAGGTGACAATATTATATTTTAAAAAAATTGCATTAACCATCTACCTACTAGAAAAAATTTAAAGAATACAGAGTAAAAAGTGCAAGCCGCTTTTGAGTTTGCTTGAGCTTTTCAGCTACACTTGAATTGCTGTCAAGCACATGCAGTGTCATCCAGCCACATAAATTCTTTGATTCATTTCATGTGCACAACATTTTAACATTATTAATAGAGCAAATAATACCAGAATTGAGGCCCAATGTACTTACGCCGTTCTTGTCAAAGGCTCGAAACATGTTCTCGATGTAATCTGCAGCCTCCTTGTTGTCGGTGACACCAAAAAAACTCTTGAACTCGTGCATGAATAGTGTTCCACTTGGGCATTCCACGACAAATTTCTTATACCATTCCTGCAGCTCTGCCACATCAATTTCCTTGTCGGGGTCGTTGTCTTCACTCAGGCGCTGACCCATGATGGGATGATTTTCTGTAACTCCCCCGAAACAGAGATTATTTCTCACATTACAAATAACCAGACTAAGATGTGCGGCTGCTTTGCTGCTTTCCTTCTCGAGAGATCAAAATCTATCAATTTCAGTTCACATTTACAAAATGGTTTCTTAAGCTTTTTGCGAATCAGCGAAAATGAAAGTAATCAAAAAAGCATATAGGTCCATATAAACAGTACAGTTATTAGCCTTGTTGTTGTGGCAAATCCCTTCTGAAAGTGAGGATGAGACAAAGACTGTTGTGGGTCACATGGCAAAGGATTAGAAATGAAGACCTGTCAAAATCAGTTAGTTCAAACAATCATGAAGGGATATCCTTGTCAATCACACTAAACACAGAAACATCTTAGCATTGTCTGTATGTCTTGTGGTCTCCACATCCTTAAAATAGGTTCCAGGAATATATTTTATACTATATTTAGTTTGAAATAGATTTAAAGTAAATACTTTTGTTTTTTAACAGCGATGTTTGGAAACCACGGTTGGCAAACTTGGTTTCTCTTTTAAAGCAATAATTCTAGACAGCTACATTATTCTACACTATTTCAATAAGAATTGCAGAGAATAATTTGCTAATTTGTCCTTGTTGATACCGGTACTTTATCCCACTTTTCAAACAAGTCGGTCTTTATCAACTTTTTTTTACTTAATTTGTTACTTTCAACCTGATCATTCAAAACAAATTGCAACAAATAAATTGTGAAACCACATATTTAAGCATAACTTAATTAGTATAAGTGACAACATTTAATTTTCCTTTGGGTTCAATAAAAAATTTTTGAATTTGAATATAATTTGTAGTAGAATTTAAAAGCCACAAAATGGTGCAAAAAGTAGAATTTAGTGTAGTTGGTCTCAAGTGTCCGTTTGTAGAGAAGCTTCTCATTTCACAGTACAGATTTAAGGACAAAGGTGGTTTAGTGAAATTAATTAATGCATTACTAAAACATGAGAAGATGAGATGAAAACAAAGAGTCTGGTGTGGCAATTTTAATCCAGTCCCAGAATAGGAAGATTTTGATCCGTCTGATGAATCATTGAGGTCAAGTGTTCAGTTATCCTTGAAAGTCCTAATTACTATTTACACGTCTGCTGTACTCTATCTACCTCAAGGCCACCATAAATGTGTTGATGTGAGAGCTGCAAGGTGACATAATCTCTGTGTCACACTATTGAAAGTAACTTACTTTAGTGGAAAAACGACCACATTGTATGTAGGCTAGGTCTGCCCCAGTCCATATATGTGCTGACAGCAGTTATAGTGATAATCTTAGCTTAGATGTGTCAAGGCCGTTGGGGAGTCACTGGATGTTATCCTCTTGTGATTAAAATGATTCATACCCTCTGGTCTTACACAACCGATATTTTAAATTAACCTGTCTGCTTTCTCTCTACCAATCACGGAGCTCATATTTCCAGTGTTCGATCTATGTCTGTACCTGAGGATTGTTGTATTACTGGTTAAGTGAACAGGAAACTTTTAAAACCAACATTTAAGGGTTGAGCCTGTGATCAATATTAGCAGGAGGAATGAAAAGCAGTGTATGATTAAGAGATTTTCATAAATGGACATGCAGGGTTGAAGTGATCCACTTACCTACAACATACTCCATACTTAGTTGCTTATAAGATTTTCAAAACTCCACACATACATTATATTTATAACGCATAAAGAAATCTGAAATACCCAAACTTTGACTTGCTTTCGAGAATGAAAAATCTTGAGAAATAAGCATTTTAAATTATGCAAGTTATTTGGATCTTCATGTTCAGTCCTGTATCTGTAGAATATATATATATATAATTAATACCTACTTTATTTTTTTTAAGTTAATTGAAGTGTCTTGGAACTTTTAGTCATTAATCCATCAATTTCTGTTTACCTGGGGTTTAAATTTGAAGTGATACATGAAGTGAGGTCGAGTCCTCTGACCTACTCTTTAAAATGGGAACATAGGAACATCTTCTACTAAACCAGGTGAGATTTTATTGTTTTAATTAAAATAGGTTTTTTGCTAATATATCGTTCTGTATCCTATCCTTGCTTTAAATTTCTCCACAACTTTATCCTGGTTGAGGATAAAGAGACCATTTTTTTATTGTCTCTAGCAAACTTCTCAGGTCTTCACAGCACTGCTATTATTTATTAATGAGCTAAAACAAGTAGACTTATTATTATGCATGTGAGATCTGAAGGGAACTGCTGGAACTTAATTTATTTAGAAGTATTTGTGTGAAGAGGATTTAAAACATGCACCCCAAACTTTTCATATTTTCTTCAGTAAAAAAAACACCACATGAAATTGTAATAGTTTGAATCTATCACTAAAGATCTCAAAAACATTCAGTGGTTCTAACACAATGTGGTAAAATTCAAGTTATGAAAACCTTTGCAAAACATTGTATGTTCATGTATAGTGAGGATAGTAAAGGACAGCAAGGGAAAAATCTCCAAATATTGCTGTCATAGAAATGCACCAATATTGTATGAAAAATTTTGCAAACAACATATTTTAATGGTTTAGTGTACATCATTACCTTAATGAATTGTTTAGGGTGATGTATCACCTAATGTCCTCTATCATTAGGTGATAGAGGACAAATGTAAACAAAAATAAAATTTAGCCGCCATTTCCAGAATTCCATCTCATTATTCTAAATGTGTGACATGTTGATTTGTAAGAAAAACAAGATGCCAAACCAATTCCAATTTCAGCTTTTATTGCTTTCTGTGAATATTCTCACACAAGCTCAAGCCTTCGGTTTCCAGCAGTCAGTTTTACAAAGAATGCGGACATGTATTACAAGACTACAAAAGCTCATTTACAGATAAGTATTGTGGAAATCTCAATTATCAAAAAAAGACAGATGTACAACTACGGTCTGACACCAAGAAAATAAAAGTACCTTGCATTTTGTTTGAGCAATTTGGTTTGAGCAAACCAAATTGCTCAAATAAAAGGGCTCAAAATGGCAACTTGTATTGGCTTCATAGGGACACGGAGCGAAACGTTTCTCCAGCTTTCAAGAGTGTGAAGTGCACGATCAGAAGAAATATGCTATATGTGCTTTATATAAAAGAAAAGCAGACATATATAATATTTTGGTTAATATCTGAACAGCATTAATACAAAAAACAGAAACCTGAAACTACTGTGCTTGCCCTAAAACAACTTTGTCAAATGGTTCTTCTTGGAAATAAACACCAAATAACTAATGGAATTACTGAATACATCATCTACATTAAGTTAGATATTCAAATATAAAAATTAGGAAAGAAAAAAGGTTAGAAAAATGGTTTTGTTTATTGAAAAAGGCAGTCTTCATTATGTTGTTAAATCATCTTCCAGTTTAAAGATCTGGTGAACAGTGGCCAGGAGAAGCTGAAACAGAAGAAGACGTCAAGATCCTTCTAAGAAGTCTCCAAGTCCACTTGTCTCTTGGTCCTGAAGCCTAATGCTCCACAGTGCTACAGATTTACCTTTGGGGTTGTGTCATACAGTGTAGAAAACAAGTCAGTTGGCATTCCTGCCTTTCAAGTTAGTTGTGTTCTCCCAGTTCTAATGAGGTCTCTGTGCTGTCTGAAGTTTCAGCACCACCCTCTGTTGCCAGATCAGGGGAATTACTGCAAGACACTTTTTCACTGGCTGAGCCCTCTGCATCACTGCTGCTGCTGTTGCACAAAGCATTGTCCTGTTCGAAGGTTGAATGTGTCTCTGATAGAGTCGCTTGGTCCGACTGATCCACAGAGATGTTGCTCTGAACACTGGCAGCAGCACTAGCCTCATTCGACTCCCCTTCCCTCTCAGGTGGTTCAGACTGTGTGCTGCTTTCCCCTAAGAAGAGAAGATGTCACTTTTTAATGATAGAACATAGTAAATATTCACAATTATTATGACGAAACTGAACTGCAGTTAAATCAGAAATTCTTATATTTTATGCCATTTTATGCAAGAGGAGTTTGTCAAAGGGATTTTACATCCTTCATTTGTTTAATAAAATTATTTTTTTTAAAAATCATTGAAAATGTAATTTATTATTGAATTTAAAGGTGAAATTCAACTACAAAATACATGTATAATTTTGAATTACTGCATCAGTGTGATGTACAAAACAGCTAACAACCTGTGGAGCTGCGGAGGTGTTAGGACAGCCAAAGCTGCTTTAATAGCAGCCTTTATTGTTGGTTCTGATATTTATCAACTTGGCCTTTGCTTCACAATTCCCTTAAGGGTGTGGAAATATCAGCTGATTGTTTAAACTACCTTCCAGTTCAATTTCCATTATTATGCTTGGAAAGAGCCCTTTAAATCTATACAGAAGAGGACTTTGACTTTTAAATCGAATTACTGTAATAATGATGAAATTCTAATTTATTGGACATTTAGCTGGTTCTGTACATGAACCAGCTAAATGTTTATGTCCACCCATATATTAATCACACTTGTGCTCTATAAAAATTAATGTTTGTGGACTGTGAAGTAGCATATTTTTAATGTGTCTTAAACAAACAACACAATCCTGCTGTTAAGTGTTCTTAAGTACAAGTTAGCGTAAGTAAGGATAAATTCACACTTACCATGACTGTCTGATTTACAGGGTGTGTCATGAAATGTTTCACTGCTGCACTCTTGACCGCAAGTGTCTTCCTCTGACTCTGGTGTGTCTGATGAACTCTCTGGTTCTTTATGACAAGATGACTCATTTTCTTCTCTTTCCGTTTCGTCATCATATTCACCAGTCTTCCGTTTCTTGGCCTCCTGTTTGTCACAGTCAGATTCTTCGTCTTCTTCTCGATGTTTGTGCTTGATTCCATGTTTTGGTTTCGCCTCGTCTTCTGAAGGTGGCGTTTCACTGTCACACACAATAAATCTGTTGGTAATGTTCACAATTTTTTGGCTTTTAAAAGATATAGTCTTAACTTAGCAAGATTTTATTAGTAGTGTTGATACAGTCTCCACACAATGAACATATACAGTCTTTTCCATACTCACTTACCGGTATCCCTAGTAAATGTTATTAAATATTATTATTTTGCAAAGATAATTTCACACTAAATTCTGAAATATTAAATCTTTAATCCACATACATTTACTCATCAGAAGACTCGAATGTTATACAAAAAGTGTTATTAAATACATGCCACTTATTTCCATCCCTTACAATTTCTGCAAAATAAGCCTAACTGAAGCATTTTAATGCACAACTTCCTATTTATTTGGTATAAAATCCAAAATGGGATGTAGAAGCCCTTTTTTGTCTTTGCTATTTTTCAAAGTGGGAAAAAAGGAACATGGTGTGCAAAAAAAGAAATGCAGACATATCTTCATAAGACAGAAAATGGCTGTTCATCATGAACATTTGATGAGCAGTCATTATTACAGAGACAATAATGAACAAGATTGAAAATGTGTAAAGCACCTCATGTTATGGTGGAGTATCTGTGATGAATAGCTTGAAACAATTATATCTTAATTTTCCTTTTAAAACTCTTCTTTCTACACATCTTTACTATGAATACCAATAAAAATGGCAGGTGCTGTACTATACATTGACTCATAATTTACCTGGAATGGTGCTCTTCTGTTTCAGTGATTCCATCTAGCTCTTTACTGGCTGGACACCCTGGGAGCCCATTGGTGGAAAGTGAAGATGATGACAGCTTTGGTCTGTTGAGCGTTTTTGACAAACTTGGCCCATTCACATTTCGACTGCTGAACAAGACCACAACAAACAGATTAATACCTACACATTCAAGAATTTGTTTTCTTCTTCAAAGAAATATCAGCAATTACCCCCACCTTTCTAAATATAGAGATGGGTTTCCAAGAAACATTACTCCATTCATTCTATTCATAGTCGATGTCCCATTTTTTCTTTTAAGGAAGTAAAAAAAAGTATTAATTAATTTTACATTAATATTTGTAGCTGTTACAATTTACTTGGCAGCTGATATACTTACTCTGATGTGGGATGCAGATAGCTCACCACCATTACATTCTGCAGTAAACAAAAGAAAATAAAAATACAGTTCAAAGCAATAGACTGCACATTTATATGCATTACATGGCACCAATTTATGGATTTTAGGCCTTAAAAAAAGATAACTGTATCTCACCTTTTCCAGACCTCTAAGAAACTTGTCTGTACCCGTGTAATTACGCTTGGGGTCTGTAAGCAGCTCACACAGCCGCTGAATGGTGAATGGAATCCTGGAGAGGTTATCAGAGACATAAGTAAAAGTGATAAATAGACATCTCGCTCCCAGCACCAGAGCTGTTTAAAAAAAATAAAAACGGGTTCCAAGGTATAGACGGATGATTAAAAAAAACGCAGAACTAACCTATGAAAACAAGGTAAAAAAAAATAATAAAAATTTGAGTAAAACAGCCCCTTATCATCCACCTGCAGACAATCCTTTTGTAACATGATGTGTAAAAAGCTTTTTATGATTATTGTTACTCTTCTCATAAAAAAGCTAAATAAAAAAAATAAGACCACTTGCAATATGAGCCACTACCGATAAAGGCATTAACTTTATTATCTAGAAGAGTAGGAAGGTTTGTAATTTATTGATTCTTTGCTCAGTTGCAGAGTATTTATATCATGCTTAACTCACCCATTATAACCATCCACAATCTTCAAGATCCTTTTCTTCATTTCTTCAAAGGGAATATATTCCACATTGGGATTGTGAGAGTCTCTCTCTTCTGGTGCTGAAGCATGAAAATCCTCCATCACTTTATCCAGCTTAAATAAAAAGTATGTTTTGAACTGTGACCACGGGATCCTAAAGGGGAACATAATATTAGAAAAAGTACAGATAAGTTATAATACAGTTCAGGTCTACAATGTGTGCAGTTATTAGGCAAGTCTTATTAGATTGTTTTTATAAATCACCATCTACCGTGCTCTTGACTAATTCATAATGTTAGTAAACCTTAAACATGCATTTTTAAGAAAGCAAAAATGAGGTTTGGGTTTGTTAGAAGAATATATATATTCTTCTAACAAAAGAATATATTTTGTTCTATATATATATATATATATATATATATAATATATATATATATATATAAATTTTACATAATATATGTGCAATTATTAGGCAAATATTACTGTGCAGAATTCAACTAAATAAAAAACACATGTTCTCCATCTCTTTTTATTTTCATTGCTTAAGTGTGTAAGTGAATGAACCCAAAAATTTCTAATAAATATTTCTGACATTTAAAAAAGTGAAACCAGTGGCTAATAAACGAGCCACATTTCTTATCAAGAACTATTACAAGCCTTTCATTTATGAAGTGTGTCAACATCTTGATCAGCTTTTTGTGCACCAAGAACTACAGCCACTTAAATTTCTTTTTTTGGTCCATTTTTCCTAAAAAAAAAAAAAAGAAAAATTGCCTAATAATAATGTACACCTTAATACATGGTGTTGATCTCCTTCAGTCACACATTCATTACTCAGATAGACATCATATGCCATTTTAAATACATTAAGAATTCAAGTTCATCCCCCTTGAAGTTAAAAGACTAAGTCTAAAAATGATAGTCAAAATACTCACATGTATATGCCTAATTGTGAACACAGTGTAAATGAAAACATAAAGACTTTATGCTAATTGTCTCAGATTTGCAAGTTCCTACTTACATTGGTTGTCCTGTTTTGGCGACATGACACAGGAATTGCTCAAGAGCGGGACAGGTCTCCTTCTTCCCTCTTTTCTCAAAATCTGTAAACAATCACAGTGAGTAAAAAGGGTAAAACTATTTATTATTATTAAAATTCATTCAACTGTATAACATGAGCACATCAGAAGATATGGAAAATAAATCTAAAAGACAACAATTATAAATGTATATCAAAATTTTAAAATAGCAACAAAAAGTTCATTTAAAACACACACACTTGTCTATTTCTGTTAATTGTATTACCTAGAGCTGATAAAAACCTCCTATTTAGCTTCTTAGAAGCTATTACGAAACCAATAAAAAAGTAGCCTCAAAATTAGATTTATTCTTCTGAGTTTCCATTTGCTGTTAGCCATAATCACTAAAAAAATTTAACATATATTACCAAGAAATATTTACATTGGTTTTACTTTTAGGACTGCGTAAATGAAATACATTGACTTTGATGACAGTCAAAAAGCAGCCCGTGAAACTTTTTGAAATTATTTTTTACTTTCAAACCACAACTTGCACACACAACACAAAGTGGCATTAGGTTAATAATTTCAACTGCTCTTTTCTTTAGTTATGAAATAGGAAAATGTAAATAGCTGAGAGGGAAACACCAATACAAGTAGCTACATATTAAAATAACCACATTACTTTCCAATCGAAGTGAACAGATTATTGTTAGCAGAGTGTTCCTGAGCTAGCTGTTTACATAACCGTCTCAGATGGTACATAAACGGGTTAAAAGTGTGGTATGTGACGGACTTGTTCCAACCAAAAGATACTTGTAAAGCAGCCAAGCCAAACTAATGACAACACCTCATTGCCTAAGAATATTCTGAACACATTTTTCATAAAAAAAAGCTGCATTTCGTAGAGTAACGTGCGTTACGTAGATAGCAAATAATACCAATTCATCGTGGGGGGAAAAACACTTAATTTAAACATTTTAAAAAACGAATTGTTATTTTTTTCATAAATGTAAACATTGCCTTGAAACGCTTCCAATATTGCGTCGATATCCATAGCTGTGTCCAGTCCTCAGGCAGGAAATGCTTGTTGGTTAGCAGAAAGGCTAGCAGGTAGCAATCCAACAAAGCTGCTGGCAGTGCAGAACTGCGCATGTCTGCAATTACGTTTGCACTTTTCAGGAAGAGAAATGGAGATCAACAAAGGTCTTTATGCAACTTGGCGTTAAAAATAAATCCGCGTCGTTCAGGAACATCTCGATCCAATAAGGCGAATAACTATATTTTCATTTTCAAGCATGCCGTGACTTTGGCAATAGAAGTTTCGAGATCTGCCTGGTGTTTTGTGGGCTGGCGGTTACACAGCGTCTTTTCTGCTAACTGGGGATTCGACCAATGACTCATCAGCTGGTCTGGGGTAAATTTACCCAGCGAATCTATATATATGTATAAACAACCATAACTCCGAAGAAACGCCTGCGTGGGAATCCTGATTTATGATAGTTCTCCAATACAAAGTTCTTCGGTTTTCATAGTTAACAATGGCAGTGCCACTAGCTGCTTTACAACTGAGCTCACCACCAAGCCTGGAGAAAAACATTCATATCAACGACAGAGATTTAGAAAAAAATTCACACAACACTGAGAATGACATTCTGCCATTACATTCACCCTGGACTTTCTGGCTTGATAGGTAAGAAAACATTAAAATTCTCCAAACTGCTTTGTTATAAAACTGTTGTCGGTGAAAAGTGAGCGAACTCTTGAATTGATTTACTCTTTCAAGGAACAAAGAAAAACAGACCTAGAATTTACCTTTGTTGTCCATTTGTTATAAGATTATTGGAAAATGTTGTTTTTCTTTTTAAAAAAATATTTTTTATATAATGTACAACTGTGAGAAGTAACAAATACATATATTTTGAATATGTTAAACAAAATAACATGACAACAAAACCTGTAATTTGAAACTATTAGTAACTAAAAATAAATTCAGAAGTAGAAATCAGGTCAGTGTCTGCTTTCATAAGCACGACATATTGTTCTCAGTTTGCAGAGTCATTGCTGGTGTCTGTTCCATTTTAGTTTCAGCAACAAAGCTTTTGTGGGTCAAGTTCTTATTCACTGTTAGGGGGTAAAAAGTAAAAGTCACCTTTTATGTATAATGTTGTGTAATCAGAACAGTGTTGACTTCAAGCTCTATGTGTACATGTTAGTGGAGCATAGGGGAGGCAGAGTTAAAATGGGGTCAGTCCTGTTTACTGGCTTGTCAGTCATCTGACTCCCTCCTACCTGACTGCTGCTCTAATTTATCTGCACAGAGGGCAGCCATGGTATATCTGAAACAAAAAAGATGGCAAAGAAAGTTATTTAAACATGTTCACATTTCACATAAAATATACTCAGACATTTGATTTGTCTTTTTTTTGGTAAGATCTCTACCAGGTACAACTGCAGCTGAGTGTGAGTCAAACCTGAAGAAAATCTACACAGTGGAGACTGTTCAGGTAAGATGCAAGGCTATTTTTAGTATGTTTCTGTCACAATTTAATCATGTGTGGAAAAAAACATTTAGTCTGATTTTTAGGTTTAGTTATTTGCTGTAATAATACAAGTTGTATAAGGCCAGTCAGTTATATTTATTTTGACTGTTGTTGATGTCAAACATTAACCTGCTTTCTCTTTTCCCCTTGGAAACGTAACAGAACTTTTGGCGAGTTTACAACAACATCCCAAGTGTTTCCAGCTTGCCTTTGAGATGTAGCTATCATCTGATGAGGGGAGAAAGGAAGCCACTCTGGTAAGTTATACTGGCACGGTCAAATTAAATAACCGTTAAAAAAGACATCTGGTGACCAGAGAAGGATACCTATGAGCCATTAGGTTATGATATGTGTCAACGTTCCGTAATATGTTGGATATTATTCTGAGTGAAGTATTTTAAGTATCAGTGATGGATGCATTCAGGCTGCGAGAGAGTGAGCTTCATCAGATAGCAGGAAGCTTGAACCGAATACAGACAAGTTTCTCTACGTTATCCTTTCAAGCTTTCAACTTTGCCTGTCATGGAACATGTTGGATTTGGAAAAGCTGCCAACCTTTTGGAAATTTTAAGAGTTGAAACAAGGATCTATATAGTTAAGATCAAAATTGTTCACAGAAGTGGCCAATTTAGATTTAGAATTATTTCCTTTCACCCAAGAAGTTTGTTTCAGATAGGAATCACTTGACAGTTGACAAAAACCAGAGGCTGGGATATGGGAAAGTAAAATAATAAAAAGATTGGTGCGCTTGTATTTTTACCATACATGATTTTTTTGCTCATGTTTCTTCTGTTTTGTATGCAGGGAAGAAGAAAGCAATGCTAAAGGTGGTGTTTGGAAAATGAAAGTGCCCAAAGAGTGTACTGTAAGAGAAATAACACTTTTTCTACTTAACATGCAAGTTGATTTCTTTATTTACTAAATCATTCCTCATATTTACAGTCTTCTGTGTGGAAGGAGTTGCTATTGGCCACAATTGGAGAACAGTTCAGCGATTATTGTGCTTCAGGTGAATGTCTTTAAATAAATAAATTTAATGCTGAAATAAACTGGCTTCAAGTTAATTTATGATTTGAAATGGTGAGTTGTAGCAGTTGTTATAATATCCAGTCCTGTTTTATCCAGTTGTTTTTAACGTGGTCAAATTCAGCATATTACTCACTAAATACTTAACTTTGTAAAAGCTGTGTAAGTGAAAGAGTTAAAACTTTATAAAAATACACACCTAGTGAAGATATATCAAGTGCCTTAACAGAGCATATCGAACAAATTCTAAATGCCATTTATTTAATAACAACCTCTAGTCATTTATGTACAATAAATTTACTCGAATTATGTTAAGACATACTTTTCTGCATTATTAAAAGTGCTGCGAAACATACATTTGCAATAAGTTATTTCCTTTTCAACATAATGTGACACTAGAGACATAATGAGGAAATGCATGAAATCAAGCCATTTATAAAAATAAGTTAGCTTCATTTACCTATCAAAACTCAAAACATGCCGTGTAATGTTTACCTAAACTTAGAGTATAAGCGGTATCAATCCAAATACAGAGTCTTGGGGAACACAGTGTCTGGTATTTGGACAGAATTTTTTTATGTGAACAAACTGTGATCAATCATGTTTTAACTGGGTTACTTACATAAAAAATTTTATTTTTCAAAAGTGGATGTTGTTGATGTCTTTATTGCGCCATAAGCTGTCTGTCTTATTGGATGTTTCTATTGCTGCTTTTCCACTTATGTGTACAGGAGATGAGGTAGTAGGGGTCAGCATCAGCGTACGGGACAGAGAAGACATCGTTCAGGTCTGGAATGGGAACGCTTCCTGTGCCGACGAGTCAAACGTCTTGGGAAAGATCTACGAGCTCCTCCCTCAGACACCTTTTAAAGCTGTTTTTTATAAACGTGAGTATTTCCTTTCCATTGAACATTGTCTTCTGTTTGTTTTTAATAGCACACCTTTGAGTACTTTGCTTAGCTTCTCCTCTAACATCTTCTATCATCTTTAGCACACAAGGAGCACCACGCTTTCGAAGGAGGTCGAACAAGACACTAAATATTTTGCACATTAGATGTTTTCAGTTGCGCAACAATCTTCTCTGCTGATAAAGTTATTACAGACTACTCAGGTAGACTACAAATTGCTATAGTTCCTTTTAAGTACCTCAATGTAGCCCAAGTGTTTTCAATCAGTAGAAATTAATTTCATCCAAGCATCACTGACATTTGCAACAAAAAAAAAACCGTGATACAGATTAGTTTAGTTTTATAGTATCTTCGAATGTATTTCTGTTTATATTGCACTGTAAAGTTTTATAAACGCAAAATAGATCTGTTAGTTTTAGATCATTTCTGACATCCAATGTGCCGTTAACCTAGCATAGATCTTTTTGATGTAATTATTGACAGATACTACTGATTTGTATTAAATAAATGATCTAAGATGATACAGCTACATAATACATAGGTGATATGTTGTACAAAATTTATTTTTGAGTTATGTTTAGAAAAATGTTACATGCACTACAAATGGAAATCCTTTGTACCATAAAGCATTTCATCTTCCTTGTGTTGGATTTTTGTGCGAAGGAACTTGCCATTCTTAGAATACGTAGCAAAGCTCAAAACATGCTGTGTAATGTTTACCTAAACTTTACACACAGTAATCTCCATGCACAAAACACCTTGATTACATTCTGGGAAATATATGCAATTACTTTTCACTAGTAGAATGTTCTTTGTTGTGTTTGCCATTTTTGCTCTAAATTAAGCACCTTGTTTCATTTTTTATCTGTGTGCAAGAGATTTGATAATTTGATTATTATGATACTGGAGACCATATGCACCTTGGTTTTGTGTCACATTTTGATGAAATGAGAAGCTTCTCTGCTTTTTTTGTAATGGATGAAAACGTTGTCAAAGGGGTTCTCTGTTTTTAATTGACTTCTGTTCAGATTAAAATTCTAACTGATCCTTGGAAAAAAAAACTGAGAAACTTGTTCAGATAATTGTCACAGGAACTGGTTGCTTCAACACAAAATCTCCTGCAGTTTCTCTGATATTCATAAGTGTGGGTTTCATTCCAAGTGGTAAGACTAACACTGCATTTTTGTTGCCTACAATCCGGTACAATGTAATTTGTTTCTGCAGAGCCATTGACGAAGGCAGTGCCGTTTTCACTTCTCGTATTAAAACGTATATCAACAAGAAAACTAATTTTAATGCAACACACTTAATCAAATTTAACTTCATTTTGTCTTTGTTAGTAATTCTTATGCTCATTCAAATGTTCACTGTTGTTAAGAATAATAATGTTATTGTCCAGCACATGTATACTACTGACAGATGACTTCAGATCAAAGATCTTGTAACTGATTGTTCATCTCAAATTGTGCCTTGTTTATTGATTGTTTACGATGTTAAAGTTCTCCCTGTTTGTGGTTTAATTGTGCACCTATTCATGCTTCACTGTTAGAAACAATGGAAACAATAAAGATTTCTGAACTTTTATTCACTATTGTTTGGAATATTGTGTGAAAAGTTATATAAAATATTATATTTGGGATGTTTCCTTTTCAAACTTAATAAAATAAAAAAAATAAAAAAAGAAAGGCATTTACATTGAGATGTAGGTAATGTTTTTATATTTATGTGCTTGCTATTTCCAATAGTAAAATAATGCTCCATTTTAAACAACATCTGCCTTGATAATCTCTCCCTCTAGTGGTCACATTCTTATACTTGTGGATAATAACCATAAGAACCATTAATTGCAGAGCAGGATTCAGTGGATATTATTATTCTGGTGTACCTAAAAATAGATCAATAAGATGAGCATTTAGTTTAGTTTTTTTTTCTTCTTTTTTTGATAATTCTATTTTAGAAAATCCATTCAAAGATTGAAATGCATATCACTATGTTATACACAATCATACATTCTGTGAATTTTTCACCAGGGTAAATGATGCCTAAAATACAGGTTTCTCTGGAAATCATAATATTGCTTAAGACCAAAACAAAATAGGATTTGTTGGAAAGAAATTATGCATGTTGAAGTAATGCCAAATGCTATTGACTTCTCAACAATCCAGCAGGCTGTCACTGATACCCTTCTCAAGAAGGGTAAGCCACAAAAGCTATCTTGTAAATAAAAAACAATAATAATAAAAAGCTGGTTGTTCACATTGTATATCAAAAAATATTAATGGAAAGTTTAGTGAAAGGGGGAAAAAAAATAAGGTTGAACAAAGTTCACAAGCAATTAGTATAGCTGAAGCCTCAATGGGGATTGTGAAACAGCCCATTAGAAAGTTTGGGGGTTTTACCACACACAGATGTGTAAATGCCATGGTCTATAACTGTTTGTAATTGCTTGGTTTTGTTAGCTTGATACAGAGATAAAGTCAGAAGAATCTTATCTGGGCTAAGAAGAAAAAAGGGGATTCCATTGTTGCTCAGTAGTGCAAAAATGAAAGTAAATTTTGTCTTTCTTTGAAAATCAGTGTCAGATTATGGAGAATCGGTGAAAAGAAAGGAACCCAAGTTGCATGAGGTCCTATGTGAAGTTTCCACAATAAGTAATATAGATATCACTTTGTGTTGATCCATTTCTTTTTCTTTTCCAAGTTTAAAGCCAGTGCAGTGGTCTATTACGAAAATTTAGTTCACTTTTCTGATACGGTTTGTGGAGACGCTGGTTCATTTTCCAGTAGGACTTGAAACATTCTTACACAACTATTATTTGAGTTAGTGATTATGGCTTTACGGTGCTTAGTTAGGCTCGCAAACTGATCAAAATACCATAAAGCAGCTGAGCATTATTGTCAAGAGATTAATTAAGGACTAGACCCAACAACGTAGATGAGTTGAATGCCACTTTATTCAACGTGGGCTTCCTTACTCCAACAGTGCTAGAGGTAACCTCTATGCCAGGTCACATTGATACAGTAATTTATGCAAAATGTTAATATAGAAAAACAAACAAAAGAAAACTATTTGCATCAGTAATTCACATGCTTGGGTCTGTTATTACACTCGTGTGTTGGTTTTACATGTTCCAAGCTCCTTTTGTTTTCCAAAAGGTCATCTAGTTTTTGCTTTGTTTTTGTGTTTTATGAAATGTCTGAATGTCTGAAAAATTAACGTTTTTTTTGTTGTTGTTTTGGTGAATTCAAATATTTATTCATAAGCAACGTGATCATTTGTAAGCATTTTCGATAAAAACTATCAGCATGTTGTCTATTTTTACTTTTTTCTCGAATTACTCATTTATTTATTCGTTTATTCAAAATAAGAGGCTTTTTTTTTAGAAAATGTCATTTTTTCTTATTTTATTTCTTTAAAAATTAAACTTATTTGAGGCATCATTTATTCATGAACAAATTAACATTTTACACACTGCATGGTAATGTTTGGTTGTGTTATTTTTTTTTTATGTATCTATTTATGAAAAACTATTAAAGAAGAAACATTCTTTTGTGCAGTGACTTGCGTCAAAAATGTAGAAGTCCTCGTGTTAACATGACGTCACCATTGTTTACTTTTACCCTAACCACGCCCCCGTTAGCAACTTGTGGCTAGCTCGTTACCGAGGAAGGCAGAGAGCATCGAGGGATCTTCTTCTGACACCACCCAGCGTCAAAGACTGTCCGCTCGCACACATTTCTGTGAGTAAACGACATTATACCAGTTCACTCCTTTATATTGAACGATTATAGTCATGAACAATGGGTTTATTCTGAAAACCACCTGGAGGCGCAGCGACGAGGAGAGAGAGAGAACCGTTTCATTTGAGCTAACGTCAGGACCCACAATATAGCTTTTGTTAGAGCTGGCGTTAACGTGCACGCCACGCGTGGTGTTGATTAAAAACGGAGTTATCGTGAAGCTGCCTTTCATGTATGTTGCTCGGTTGTTTTGTATAGTTGACCTATTAGACTCAAGTGTCAGGGTTTGTCTGGTTATCTAGCTTATGTAAGCTAATGGCTCCAATCTAAAACGGAAACCCAGAACTGCGGAGGTTGTCGTTAACACATATCGGATGTGATCATGTCGCCTCCAGGCAAATTAAAGATGATAACATTATAATAACACAGTTCAGGTGACATATTCTATTGGTCGTTTCTAAGTTTAAGTTCTTCGTTGTAGCTGCTGCGAGTGAAATGGCTGCACTGAGTTCAGATTCAGAACGCAGTTAGCTATAACGTTTGGTTAATTTTGCATATTACAGTCCTTAATTATTCCAGTATCATAACTGTAATTGAGTGTTGCGTTGTTGTTGTTTTTTTCCCCCATGGTGGGTCTGTTTAATTTTATTTTTAATTGGCGATCCATATCCTATAAAAGTGTAAGAGTACATATAAAATCAACATAAGGAACAAATTAAAAATACTGACAAATAAATAAAACGCCTGGACTGAAGAATTAATTGTTGCTTAATTAGCTACATTCAGAGGCATAAGAAATCTTATCACACTACAATTTTAAAACATTGAGTTAAGTCTGAGGAACTGCAGGTGGCTTCCTGGAGATAGTAGTTCTCAATCTATTAGAAAATGAAGAAATTACAAGATTTCTCCAATTATGTAAATAAGCATGTCCCAGAAAATCATTAGATTTCCATTGAACTTAAAAAAAAGAATCTGTCATTGAAGTACATGCTGTTGGTTAAAGCATTTTCAGGTTGAAAAAGACTTAAATGAATAGGGCAAAAAAAGTCTGATTTGATCACTGATCAAAGCCAATCAACAAATCATTTGAGAAATTTTTGCTCCATTTATTGGTGCATCTCTAATCTGAGAACCTTGCTCTTTTTAGCTTGGTGTTCAAAATCATTGTTATTACAACTTAAAGTGTTTCATTTAAGCAAAAACAAAATCCAAACCTTGAAAAGTTACAACTTTGTTTGGAAAAAAAATGATGTGCTTTTTTTTTTTTTTTTGTAAGATAAACCTGATGAACAACCAGATAACATTTGTATTACTTTCAGAATGACAAAGTTTACAGTTTTGCCCTTACGCTCAGGTTTCCCCTCCAGCCTTCTTTTAAGAACTCTACAGGAAACTCTGCCCTTTGTCTTCTAAACCAATCCTAATCCCGGGAGCTAAAATAAACAGTGCAGACCTTACCAGCCCCTGCCTGTTTTCAACAGATTTTAGCTTTAGTTGGCCATTGCTGGAAGCTCAGAGGTATAAGTTATGTCTTAAGCATGGATGACACATCTCTAGAGCCAGACATGACTTGTTGCTGATTAGTCATCATTTTTCACCTTTTTTGTTTGATTTTAATTTTCTTTTTACTCTTTGCAGACTATTGGCCTTAAGTTTATCACAGCATATGCAGCGCAGTCTAATCTGATGTTCTTTAACTGTTGCCTCTCAGTCGTGCGTATAAGATTGATTTGATTCGAAGATTAATCTCAAAATGTCGAGCTCCCAAGCATGCTAGGCTAGGCGCTTGATTCCTCTGTTGCTTTCCTTGTCCTTATACTTTTTGTTTGCCTTCTTTATTTACCTTTGTTTATGCTGCTGAGCTTTTTACTCAAACACTCCCAAGCTGTATACATAAAAGCCTACTTGTGCATTGTGCTACCTGCCACAGCCGTTTATCGCACCACCTGGTTAATGGTAAATTGTTCCAGAAGGAAGATATGTTTGCACATAAACACGGACCCAGGGCCCCTGTGTTTACAGTAGTCATGGCAGCACTTGGTTATTCAACAAATAGATTTAACATCTTCCTCTCTGACTAGTGGCAGAGTGTGTTTGTATTACTGGGTTGGGCCGCAGAAGCAAACTTCTCAACTTTTAGTGCTTTTGACTCGTGTACCCTCCATGCTGTGACGCTCATTTCAGCCGCTGCTGATTCTTCTTTATTTTTTTGTGAAGAATGAATTTCTTATCACCGTGTGAAGCTATTTCATTGAAAGCAGCCAAACATGTATGTTTTCAGCATTCCGTCATTCCTCGATAGCTTTGAGTGACTTTCACTTCTTTCGTTTTTTTTTTTTCTCTCTCTCTTTCTTTGCAGGACAGTGAAGTCCAGATGCATGAGTCCCAGTCAGATCCAGCAGGACACACCATACAAGCGATCCACATAGAAAGCAGAAGTCCTTCTGAGAATGAGAGTCGAGTGAAGAGCAGCCAGACTTCTCCTCCAGAGGTCGCAGGGGTCAGTTGTCCGTACTGACGTTCATTCAGTCCATCAGAGTTAGCTTTACAAGCAACACCTAGAGATGTGCCGATCAGGCAGACACCGATTCAAATCATTTTTATTTATAGATTTACTTATTGATGCATTCTTAGTTTTGATACATTCGCATTGGGGGAAAAAAAAGAAATAGTTCTCAGTATTCGACCTGACAATCATTGATCAGAACCGATTTTGAAAAGATAGTTTAATGTTTTTTTGATTGGCGTATTTATTTTGCAGATCTTTTTTTTTTGGGGTTTTATTCCCAACACCTCATCTTCCCCCCAAAACATTTTAAGGCGTTTTCTACATATGCACAG